TTAGTCTGACAAGTCTAAAATGGGGAAATTGTTTTTATAGGTACGACGAGGTATAACGTCACGGTTATTCTAACTCATAAGTATATGCGTGTGTTATCTTGCAACTCGTAAGCATGTGATAAATATCGTTGAGAAAAACGGAGCTTACCCGAGAAACGTGTCTTGTTTGGCCTTTTGCATACGCATTTATTAAGGAAACAACTAAAATAATATCGATTTCACACCCACATCTCAATAAATTCAATAAAAGTTTTCGGCAATAGAGCTTTTTAGATCAGATCGTTAATTGTGACAGTCATAATCGAAATAATCATTATAATATCCATTAACATTATTATTGTGTTTGTCTTGTATAGTATGAGTTGCGTCCAATTCTCTACCAAAGACTTCAAGAGACAACAAGTCTAATTAAATAGCATTATTATTATTACTATTTCCTTTGAATTCTGTTGTATACACATTTCCTTCTGCGTATCAAACAGAGACCTAAGGTCAGAAATGTCTTCATGACATTTTTCACTGATCATTTAGAAAAAAAAAACACTCTAAGATCATACACATTTTACATAGATAAAGCCCTTCATAATGTGTGAGCTGTACTTGTGAGTACAAATTTTTGTATTTCTTTAAGGCATGGGCTGTCAGGAATCCCTTCAGTGAGTCTGTCGGAACGTTTTCCAATCAATTCGAGGGCTCCAACTACAACTGGAATTATTGATGTCCTCATGTACCACATTTTTTTAGATTTACACTTCAAGATAGCTTTTTTAAGATCTTCAAAGATACATTATTATTATTATTATTATTATTATTATTATTATCTGATACACTCATTTAAACAGCATTTTCACCCGAGACCGAAAAAAACGAAGTTTTTTTTTAAAGTTATTTAATATGTTGTTATTGAAAGTTTTTTTTAAGAATATAAGCAATGCTCATTAATATACAATCTTTTGCATTTCAGATAAAATTAAATTTCCTCTTATTTTCTTAATGTGTATATCAGTATTCTATAATTATTATTATTATTAGTAGTAGTAGTAGTAGTTATAAATTACCATGGTAATGTTATTAGCAAATGTGACATCAGTGTAATGGTGGTGAGAAACTAATGATAAAAGTCTGTGAACAATAAACGAATGTTTACTTAAAATAAAAAAAAATATATATATATATATATATATATATATATATATATATATTATATACATATAGCATGCGCGTCGTGCTCCTCAAAAACGAGGAATCTAAATAAAAACTATATTTATAAAACACAATAATTGAACATCGATAACAATAATGAGTTAATTAATGATAAAAGAGAATAATGTTCATTTGGATTACATTTTTAACATTAGTAAGATCAATTAGAGTATTATGTTTAATATTAATAGCGATGATAGGATTGACAGAAAAATGTCGGTATCATTGTGGCCATAACAACATTAATAAGAAAAGCGTCATGTTCATAATAATACATTTTGGCAATAATTGAGTAGTCTTTGAGAAACATTTACCTCTATTAATCAGTATAGATTAGATATTTGTTGTTCAAATGTTTGTATCAGTTTTTTTTTGAGGGGATTGCAATATATATATATATATATATATATATATATATATATATATATATATATATAAAAATTACACGAAAATATTGGAAAACGAAGCTTTTAATATCGGTATGTTATTCTTTCACCTGCTCAATACTACTACTACTACTATTAATAATAATAATAATATAAGGATACTGAAATCGTCAAGCTGTCAATAAAAAAAAAATAATCGACATTGTTTTATTTTGGTTATCGTCTGAAAACAACTCTTGTCGCCATGATCGGGAAACACAGTTTTATATAATTGAACGCAAGTTTCCCTGCTTTTCCCTAATTTCGGATTCAACCTTTGCCTTGTGAACGTCATACCAGCATTTACAATTTTTTTCTGAGATTCTAGACGAATTTCCATAAGACAATTCTCTAGAGTAATCATACTGCCAAGCAACCGCGGTCACATTTTCAAGTTTAAATTTTCTTTAAAAATCACAGCTGAAAGTAAGCTTGATAGTATAAACATCTCGTCATAATAAAACTCTGAATAAAAGTAAGGATATAAACTTAATTCATTTCCAAAGAAGAGCATTTGCCAAAGCGATTTTTTACGCCATCGAAAAGATTGCCAAATCTGTTTAGTAAAAGCTATCCGTTAATGATTCATGATTAAAATATCTACCATGTTTTGATTATGAATATGTGCCGTAATCCTAAATCTAAGAATTTTTTTAAGTTGAATAAGAATTACGCTTTAACATGGCTCATCCCCTGGAATATTTTTGTACACCTAGGATACTGAGATCATGGATTAACCGCAGTTGCGCGAAAGCATGATTTTAAAAAAATTGTATTAAAAAAAAAAAAATGCCGGTTTACTTGTTTGATTAAAATCAAATAGTTAAAATGTAAACATCTTTATAAGATGCGACATGGCGAATGGTTTCACTGTGACGTTATTAGTGGATGTGTGCAGAAGTCTCCAGCGTCCTAATTTTTATTTATTGAAAGCTACAAGTTTAAGATTTAGTAGAAATTCGGTTTATTCAGTTGTTAGCACAAGAAACCTTTACACGCACCTAATAAAAAATATTGATCACTTTGGAAATGATTAGAAGGTAGTTTCCAATTGAGCAGATGAGGAAAATAATGAAATAATTAGCCACAAACGTTTTATTATTTTTACTTATAAACTAAATATCTTCAAATATTTTTATTATATCTTTGATTATTGATATCAGTATCTGGTTTGATTCGATATTGCTATGTCTTTATGGAAGAGTATACAGGCAGTGAGACCTTTATGGAAGAGTATACAGGCAGTGAGACCTTTATGGAAGAGTATACAGGCAGTGAGACCTTTATGGAAGAGTATACAGGCAGTGAGACCTTTATGGAAGAGTATACAGGCAGTGAGACCTTTATGGAAGAGTATACAGGCAGTGAGACCTGATAGACATTGAAGAGTGAAGTCATCGGAAAAAAAAAACAAAGGCAAGTGAGAAATGAAGGAAGGAAATATTCTACGCTTTTTACTTACCTTATTGGCATATAGTTTCATTTTGAACCTGTCGAAATAGTAGTAGTCCGCAGCTTCCTCTTCGCTTAAGTCATTATACCTCGATACGGCATCAAAGCCGAAGGCCTCAAACTCGGCATCGGGCCTCAACAGAAGGCACGTCGGGGTTTTGTGCAGCATAAATCCTTGGGTTTGACCCCAGTTCTTGTTCGTAAAAATGGCATTCTTCTCCGAGCTGAGTGAGTAGGCATAGCCGGAGAAGGTAGTGCCAAAGTCAATGGCGGTGACCAAGGAGAAAGTGTCAGCCACTTCACCGCCGTCGGCATCGGAAACGCTCAGCTGGTCCGTCTCATGACAAAGACGTTCGGTGCTACCCGTTGCACCACTGGCCGACGTGGACCCGACCGTAGTCCGACCGGTCGACTCTGAGGACGAATTAGAGTTTATCGGCGCCTTGGACCCACACAGTCTGGCAACCCCTATTGGTGGCGGGGGTGCTAGTTCTGTTGGGGGCCCATCGTCGATATCATCCGTGAGGGCTGACATCTTGGACGTCTCGTCAAAATTTGTTTAATTTTTTCCCCTTTTTCAGCTATATTTGTGTATGTGTGTGTATGTATGTATGTATGTATGTGTGTGTGTGTGTGTGTGTGTGTGTGTGTGTGTGCGCGCGTGTGTGTATGTGTGTGAGTATGTTTATGTTTCAGTTTAGATCACACCTTACGAGAAAGCAGAACCGGTAGGTATTCGTTATTTTCCTTAGAAAGAAGAGTTTCTACCTCTGCTTCTGTTCGTCTCAACCTCTCTTATGCGGAACGTGCGTGTCGTGTGTATGGAGGCTACTGTGCCTTTCGCGTTTCTAGCGAGTCTGTCGGTTGTTGAAGAGGCGACAGGGGAGGAGTAAGGCCGGGACACTGTGCAAGAGAAAGAAGTGTGTAAATTCCACCGACCTTCCTCCGCCTTAATATAAAAAAAGATGGAGGAAGGTTTTAAGGGTACTCCGTCTCCAAGTATCTTAATATATTTTTCTACTTGTCTCTACGGGTGGATAGACAGAAAAGATGGACGTCTTTGTTCTACCCTACATACACGCCGACTACACTACAACAGTCGGCTCGTTCTTTTGCCCGTTCTATTGCTGCTACTATTGTTGTGATTGTGCAAAATCTTCCCCTCCACTCACCAGTTTTCTGCTTCCGTCTTCTTCCCACCTTTTTTTTTATTACTTTCTATTTTCACTTACTCTCCTGTCAGTGAATTTTACTCTTAATCTTTTCTCTCTCTCTTTCTTTCTTCCTTTCTTTCACTCTCTCTTTCTCTACCTCTTTCCCTCTCTCAATCACTTTGACCCATTTGTTTTCGACTAGCCGGCAATCCTTCTAACGCCTTTTTTTTTAGCATATTTCTTCTTTTTCGTTATTTTTTCTTTTATTTTTTACCTTTCTTGAGTATTTTGATTACATTTGCCTTTCTTTCTTTTTTATTTCTTATCTTTTTACTTTATCTCCTTTCTTTCTTTCTTTCTTTCTTTCTTTCTTTTTCTTTCTTTCTTTCTTTTTTCTTTCTTTCTTTTTTCTTTCTTTCTTTCTTTTTTCTTTCTTTCTTTATTTCGATTCTTTCATTGCTGTTTCTCCTTGTCTTTGTCGATCTTGTCCTCATTATTATCTCTCTCTCTCTCTCTAGCTCACTCAGACTCTTCCCTTATCACGTGACAAGGAAAAGCTTTAATTCTGTCAGTGCAGAAGAAATGGGATCTTCCTAACGCGAGCATGTCAGTGAGCCTCTACGTTTAATGTAAGTGGACGAAGAGTTAAGGTTTCACTGATTTTACAAGTTCGAAAATGTGTAGGATGTTTTTTTTTTAAATATTTTATTAATGTAGGCATTCAGTCAAAACCGACCCCAATTAGCTTCTTTAAAAGCGTTTTCATCAGTCTGTCTATCCACACACACACACACACACACACACATATATATATATATATGATTTATTTTAGAATATATATATATATATATATATATATATATATATATATATATATGATTTATTTTTGATATTACACCAGAAATTTCTCTCTCTCTCTCTCTCTCTCTCTCTCTATATATATATATATATATATATATATATATATATATATATATATATATTCCTGTTCCTTTTATATATATATATATGAATTTATACATAAATACAAACAAACACACATATATATACTTTATATATACATTATATTTATATATACATTATATATATATATATATATATATATATATATATATATATATTTTATATATGTAATAAATATATGTGTATGTCAGCGAGCGAACTTTAGTCATCTTCTTATGTTATTAATAATGCTCGATTTTATCATTTTAGAAAGTATTTGTATGCTGAGCGCCTAATATAAGTCGATGCTTACCCTCTAACAAATTACTATCTTTGTCAAATTCTCACTCTCCTGTCCCTCTCACTCTCTCTCTCTCTCACTCAACAACACACACACACACACACACACACACACACACACACACGGTATTCATTGAAGTAAGAAAGTTAATAAACTCTGATTATTTCTGTTGGTACTCCTTTTTGTTAGCCTTGTGTCTGACTAAATTAACTTAATATATAGCCAAGCACATGGTAATGCGTATATCCTCTTTTTCCATTCTCTGTTGCTTTGCTCTTGCAACATGAACATGTTACGCTCAATATTGCCGAATGACAATTCTCTCCCATATTTTGCAATCTGTATTGTCTTTTCCCTTTTTCTCAACTATTTTCTCTCTCTCTCTCTCTTCATATATATATATATATATATATATATATATATATATATTGCACTTTCCTTTCTAGAAATACACGTATGTTCGTATGTCCTACTTACTAAGTAGCAAGTTAGGTTTACACATTTTATTAACAGGTTGATAGCTAGATAGATAGATAGTTAAGTATATAGATAATGAAGAGACTTAGATAGATAGATAGATAGATAGATAGATAGATAGATAGATATAAATTTATAAATGTGAATAAATTAAGGCGGATAGATACAAATGAACCAATATATATATATATATATATATATAGGGTGAGAGAGTGAATTTCAATGTGCTGGAATAAACCATACACATATTTTTTTTTATATTTACAAAGGGGTTCTTCGTTCCCTTCTATTTTGTACAAGCACTAACCTCTAGTATGTGAATGAGTTTTTATATGCGTCTCGAAGTTGCTTGTTGTTGTTATTATTATTATTATTATTATTATTATTATTATTCTATACATATATTGATACATGATTCTGCAAATACATATGTTCATGTTATGAACTGTTCAGGTAAGCAAGTCCAAGCGAATTTAGATTTTCACGATCCGAAGATAAAGTAAATAAACAAACAATTAAAGACAAAAGAAACACCAACAATCTCTACTGATCTTTATACCACGATTACAGAAAGTTTTCACTTTCTTTCCACTTCTTGATAGACATGCAGGGTTGTGCGTCCTCATTTATTTTTGCATTCGCGTACAGATTTAAATATTTATGTCTGCTTTGTAGAATAGAGTGTTAGTGACGTTCACAACATCTCTTCATGTCGTTTAAAATCCTTTCTTACCGGCACAACCACTACTACTACTAAACTACTACTACTGCAACCACAGTCACCACTAATACTAGAACATCTACTGGTACGGTCTAAACCACTGCAGCGGCTGTTGTTTGTACTGTCGCTAATATTACAACGATTCAGACGGCTGCTAACACCACGCGGAAGACACAGGCACGCGCGCCTAAATGATTAGAATAAAACGGTTCTGCCCTCTCCTTACTCTCCTCTTTGCTTTCCCTTTCCTTAGCGCTCTACCTTTTTCCTCTCCTTATTTTTCTTATTGATTCTCCTTTTTTGCTCTGCCCTTCGCTTCTTCTTTCCTCTCCTTTTTTGCCCTACATTTATACTTGCTCTCCTTTTTTGCCCTTTTCTCTTTGCTCTCCTTTTGTCGTATGTTTCTACTTGCTCTCCTTTTTTCTATTTCTCCTTGCTCTTTCACTTTGCTTTTTCTCCTTGCTTTCATTTTTACTTTTTTCCTTGCTCTCCTTTTACCTTATGTTTATCCGTGCTGTCCCTCTCCTTACGCTCCTTTTTTGCCCTATCTGTCTCACTACTCTTCTTTTTCTCTCCCTATCTCTCTTTCTTCTTTCCTCCCTTATGCTTTTTGCTCTCCCTTTTAATTTCTCTTTGTCTTTTTCCTTGCTATTTTTTCCTATGATTTGTCGTTTTTTTTTTGTTATCATTACTTTTCTCCTTACTCTTCTTTTTGTTCTCCCTATCCTTCTCACTTCTTTTTTTTATTCTTACTATCTCGTTTTCCCTATCATTCTCCTTATTATGTTTGTTTTCCTTGTCGTCTTCTTGTTATTATTTATTTGATTCTGCCATCTTTTTCGTTTTCACTTTCTATTTGCTCTCCTTTTTTCCTGCTGTTGTCATTGGTTTCCCTCTAATTTTATTTACTCTGCATTTTGTCCTTTCTGTCCTTAACGTTTCTTTCTGCATACACCTTGCTCTTCCTATTATTCTGCTCATTCTCATTTTTTTGTCTTCTAACTTGTCTATATTTCTTTCTTTTTCGACTGCATCTCTCCATTTCTATCTTTATTTATATTTCTAGCTTTCCTCTCATCTCAAACCTATTTGGTATCGCTTAATATTGTTGGATTTTGGTCTCCGTTCTTCTTTCGTTTTCCTATTGCCTCCATTTCTTGCTCTTCTTTCTTCAAGATTTCAAATGTTTATCCTTTTTTTTCTGATGTTCGGTTAACTTTATGATTTTTCTCAATGCTGGGTTCAGCATCTTGCTTTACACACTTCTCTTCCTTCTTCTCGCTCTCTCACGCTTTGAAGATACTCTTTATTCCTTTTTTTCTTTTTTCCAATGCTCTTAATTTCATTACTACATTTCCATCTCTCTCTCTCTCTCTCTCTCTCTCTCTCTCTTCATTTATATTTCTCACTCACCTCCTCCTCCTCCTCCATCTCCCTTTCTCTCTTAGTATTCATTTTTTATTATCCTTTTGTGTTATCTTTTCCTTCTTTTACCCTCTCATTGTTTCCCATTCAATCTACTTTTCCATTTCATTATTTTTCCTTTTCACCGATGTTTTCTCTCCCCGCCCGCCCTCACGTTCACACATTCTCTCTCTCTCTTTCCTTGATCTCCTCTCTATTTCCCCTCTTTCTGTTTTCTCATTCCTTTGGTTTCTTCATCTTTTCTTTCATCACTCTGCTTCATATTTTCTTTTCACTGTTTCAGTATTAATTCAAGTTTTGTATTGTTATTTCATTTTCTTTCCAACTATTTCTTTCTTTCGATTTCCCTTTCTTTTACTCCCACAGTTTTTCTCTGTAGTTTTTTTTTTTATCCCGCTGTTATTTTTTTTATTTTTGTCTATTTTTCTCTCTTATTTGAATCTTTTCCAGCTTGTCTCTCTTCTTTTTTCTTACGTTTTTTTAGTTTTCGTTCCCAGGCAAAGTTAGCATTAGTAGTTATAATAATAATAATAAGAAGAAGAAGAAGAAGAAGAAGAAATTAATGATACATCTGTAAGAAATAGAAAAAGAAGGTGAATGAGCAAATGATATATGTATTAATCATTTTCTACTTTCTCCTTTTCACTTCTTTCTTCTCTCCTTCCACTTTTTCACTCCCTTTCTCTCTAACACATATGTAACACTTCCCTCATTTTTTTCTCCTCCGCAAAAACAAAAGAAATAACAGGAAGTGTCAAAGGAGAGTAAGGATATATACAAACTCTCCAATTCATTTTATTTCATACCTTTCTTTACACTCTTTATTGTTCTCTTCCGTCTTAACCGTCTTCTCTTTATGTATCTCCATCTCTCTTTCTTTGGGCATCCCTACGCTTTTTGTCCTTTCCTTCTCTTTTCCTCGCCGCCTTTTCTTTCCCGTCACTCTCTGTTTAGCAACCCTAATTCTACTCACTCTCTTTTCAAATTCTACTTTCCCTCCGTATTTCTTCTTCTGTTCTCCTTTCGATAAAAATTGCTCATTTTTATATCATACCTCCCCTTCTTCTTCCTTTTTCCCTTGTTTTACTATCTTTAATTTTTCTTTATCCTGGCTTCTTTCACTTCTCTTTTTGATATCAAATCACCTCTTTTATTCTTATCTTCTCCTGCTTTCCCTTTATCTTCTTTCTCTTCTTGTACACTCTTTACCCTCCTATTGTTCATTTTATCTTCACTGTTCTACTTACTCTCCTTTTCTTTACCCATGATCGTCCGTGTATTATGCTAATCATTTTTACATAATGTAGAAGACAAAGATTTTAATGTACGCCATTAGAAAACATAAACATAATTTATGAGGATAGCAGAAAGAAAATACTGTTGAGAGGAATATTTCGTCAAAAATCGATAGAAAAGCCGTGCTGAGGTAGTAGCAATGAAAGGAAAAACTAAAGGTGCATAGAAAGAAGCTTTTTGGTTGCGACATTATATGTTACTTAAATTCACAAACATTTCTCCTCTTTACGTCCCTTTCTTCTTTCGTTTCATTATTGTGCCTTTCCTCAATCTTTTTTTATCTTGTTTTCTGTCTACGCTGCTTTATTTACTAATTATATTTATTGAAAAGGTTTCAATGATCTTTCTTTCTTTCTTTCTTTGAGTTAATATTTTTAATTATTATTGTCTTTCGTTTTCTTTCTTTTTTCTTTTTACTATATTTTCTTTTAATCTTTTTCTTCTTTCTTTTCCAACCTCCAGTTTTTTTTCTTTTTCATTCATTCGTTTTTCCTTCTCTGCTTTTATTTGCTTTTTCTATCGTTCCTTTTTTTCATTTTCGTTTTTTTAAAGTTTTTCATTCTCTTTCTTTTTTCTTTTACCTCTTTTTCGTTTTCTCTTCTCTTTTCTTTTTCCTTTTCTTTCCATTTTGGTGCCTAAAAATAATTTTATGTTATGATGACATCATCGATTTTATTCGGTTTTAGTTTCCCGTCACCTCCCTCTTTTCCTTCCTTTCTTTTTTCCTCTCTTCGGTCATTCGTTCGTTCTTTCCTTCCTTCCTTCCTTCCTTCTCATCGCCTTTTCTTTCTTCCTCCCTTCCTTCCTTTTCTTTCCTTCTCACCTTCCTCTCTCCCTTCCTTTCTTTCTTCCTTCCCCTTCCTTCGTCCTTCTTTTTGCTTCCCTCTTCCCTCCCTTTCTTTTTTCTTTTTATTCTCACCTTCCTTCCTTTCATGTTTTATATCACTTTTTTTTATATATTTCTTTCTTTCTTTCTTTCTTTCTTTCTTTCTTTCTTTCTTTCTTTCTTTCTTATTGAATGAAGACAGACATCATGTTTATTTAATTCTTTAAACTTTAGATCTTTGTTTCCTTCTCGTTTCTAGGTAGAGTGGCACACAAAAGAACTTGCATTAAATATGCAGACTGTATTCTTTATAAACCGTCTACTGTAAAATGACGATTATCAAGTTAGTCGTTTATATAATTTCTAGTTTAATGAAGTTAGTTTCCATGGGGTACTCTGCTTCCATAGGCTATTTTCTGGACGAGGCTGAACATTGTTACTCTTTGGACTCCTACTGTGGTGCGATAGATAATGATTTCGTTTCTCCAATCGATTCGCTTGTTTGGTGTGTTCGCATCTTATTGAGTGCTTCGTTATTGTTACCTTGGACCAGACTAAACACATTTTTAATAAATAACTAAAACTTAGTAAATACCTTTTTTTTCTTATTTTATTCATAGTTTTAATTTTTTTCCTTTTTTTACTTCATTTTTTTAAATTACTAGATTGCTTTTCTTATCACTTTCGTCGTCATTTTGTGTTTTATTTTCAGCCGAATCTTCTTTTCTGCCTCTGTAGCAACATTGGGATGACATTTTTCGTCCTGTCATCTCATAATTCAACATACAAATTTGATTTAATCCACTGGTGTTTCTTTACTCTTCATTCATTTCAATCAACTAAATTACGACAATTACTTGTCAATTAAACATCAATTATTTTCTGGCCACCTAGTAACCTAACAACTGGCTCCTTCTTCATTATCTATTCTTACTCCCTCACTCTTTTCGTTTATTTAATTATTTATTTTAAATTCTTCTCTTTCCGCTTGGTCTTCCTTCGTTTCTATATTTTCTCGGCCATTTTTTCTGTTTAGTTTTACTTTTTTGCTTCATTTACCATTTCCTCTACGTTCTTTTTATTATTATTTCTTTTGTTCTCTTTTCTGTTATTCCTATTTTATTTTCTTCTTTTACTTCTTAATATATCTGATTGCTTTCTTCTTCTTCTTCTTCTTCTTCTTCTTCTTCTTCTTCTTCTTCTTCTTCTTCTTCTTCCCCCTCCTCCTCCTCCTCTGTTGGATCTTTTGTCCTCTGCTTCTATTATTTTTCCTCTTCCCCTTTCTTCTTTTTAAGCCGGCGTTTCCAGCAATCAGCTGTCAATAAAAAATCTAAATTCATCAGTTAATTCCTTTTTTATCCTTCTTTACAGCCGTTCGTTATTTAACACATTTCCAGGCTATTTTCGCTTCTTTCTAAATTTTCTTTTTATCTTTTTTCGCTCCCTTTCAACTTTTTTTTCGTGATCAAATTTAGTTTTTTTTTCCTCGCCTGTTTTTTAGACTCCCTTTCTCCGAATATATCTCTCGCTGCATTTCATTTTTCCTCCTAACTCTTCATTTCAAATTTTCGTTTCACTTCCTCTACTCTTGCTATTCCTCCCTATAAATCAATTCACTTTATTTTATACAAATGCATTCCGCAAATTATCTCCCTTGGCTCCTCAGGAGATCTTCAAAACTACTCAAATTAAATCTTTGATTGTCGGGTATTTTCTCCCAGTCTTTTTGAATCGTTACCGCAAACTTAATGATGTAATGTATTTCAATTTGCGTGAAAAAACGAATTTTTCACTTTTCATCGGTTTTATATTGTAAAGTTCATATATCTTGATATTTATTTTAATCAAGCAATTTAAACAGATTGGTCAGATACCCCGGCCTCGCCATATAATTCACACATCTCTTGAAATCCCTTCATTATTAAATAAAGTACCTCATTTCATATGGCAATTTTCTTCTTTTGAGAAAGCTATTTCACGCCTGAAATTCTCAAAACGTTTGAATGGCTCATGTATATATATATGTCATTTTAAAAGTTAATCGTAGTAGATGCCTATATTTGAGTAGGCGTTCCGCTTTCTTTTTTCTGGAAAACGAGCCGTCGTTCGTTTAGTCATACTCTTAATCGATTCTGTCACAGATATAAGTACGATTAAACAAGCTTCTGTACTAACTTTTAAGACCATACTTCCCGTTTTGTTTCTCGAAAGTTCATAACTACTCAGTTTCGTATCTGAAAAGTAAACAAAGTAATTTCGAAAAAAGATGTAATGGATT